TCCCCGGGCCGAGCTCGCCTTCGGGCGGGTGCCGGTGTTGGACGGCGCCGGGTCGGGTCGGAGGCGGGTGCTCGGCCGGTCCTTGGCACTTCGGGAGCCTTCCTGCTTGCCCCCGACACCCGCCCTCCGCGGGGCCGCTCGACGGCGTTCGCTCCCCCGCCCTGGCGGCGCTCCGCGCCCCGTCTTTCCTAACCGTGCCGTTCGGCGGTTTCTCTTTGGTGCCGCGGAAGAGCAGACCGGGGTCTGCCGGAGACCCGGCCGGGTTTCTCTTTCTTGTCAATCAACGGCTTAACCCCGAGGTCGGCGGCCGCAGCACTGCGGTACCCGTCGGCCTCGCGTGCGGCTGGCGGCGGAGTCTCGGGGCTCGCGCCCCCCCAGCCGGGCGTCCCAGGGGAAGCTACCCGAGCGGGTTCCTGGAGAGCCAGAGCTGCCCGCGACGCTGGCTGGTGGCGATTCCGTAGGAAGCAGTGTCTAAGCGTGGTGTGCATTTTCTGAGGGGGTGGAAGCGTGTGCTGCGAAGAGCATCACTTGGGTGACCGAGGGTGCAGGAAGCGTGTTAGCTGCTACCCCCCAGTCCACCTCGCTGATCAAGCGCAGGGTTATTTAGGACGGGCATTTGAGCACAGTCCTGGCAGATTGCAACCGGCAGGCATCATTTAACGCAGAGACCGTGCTGAAAACTTGCACACCGGGGTTTTTTTCCTGGCGGGGGTGTGGGGGGGGAATGTTCAATAGAAAATGATAACCTTTGAAAGGCTTCCGTTGTCATGCGTGACTGATTGGTTGTGGGTTAAAGTCGGGATGTGGATAGAGACCCTGCGAAGATTTCTTTGGGAAAGGGAAAGCGAAGGTAAGTACCTCCTTGCCTTTTTAAAGTAGAGCTGTAAGTTTTCTGCACTAGTTGCAGGATTTGAAGAGGGAAATAAAGTAGAACAAACTGACCTATCATTAACCAAAGTAATAGTCCCACAGGCATCTGGCAGTTACTGACAGCTGCTCTGGGAAGTGCTCAGGACCTATGTTCTTTAGGGCCAAGCAGCTATTCTCTGGGTTCAATAACAATGTTTGCTCTTCTGGAGAGAAGAAGGATGTTGGTAGACGTTGTTAGACACTTTGGAAGTCGTAGGGTGTTGAACATAGGATCAGGATCGAATTTACTCAGAAACTTACCAATAGCCTTTGATGGAACTTGCTACTAAGTAAACTTACTACTGGTAAGACATTTCAGAATGATCAGGATAGTACCTTGAGTAGAGGTGAAATATGATAGTTTTTTTTCTTGAATAGTTTTTATTCAGATGAAGCTATGGCAAATATCAAGAATGGTGACTCTTATAGCTTTGAAGGTTTATTGCCTCATTTGGGAAAGGAGAATTATTTCAACTCTCAGAAGATGTAGAAGTGTGGCTCTTGATTGCTTGAGCCAAAGAGCTTGACCAATAATTGCCAGCCAGTACACTCAAAATGCAATTGGAAGAAAAAAAAAAGCAGTTGAGAATTTTGGTGTTTATTGACCACTAACAAAGATATTTTATACTAGGTACATCATACAAGACAACTACTTCAGATGGAATTTTATTTTAACAACTGTTTGTAATCTTTTTAAGATCTAAATTTCTAGGTAGTCACTTAGGGAATTGTAAAAAAGACAAGAAATTCCTTCTTGGGGAAAAAATTTGATATTCCACACAAAAATGAATTTAAATTGTAATACATTAAAGTAAGTTTATCAAAATAATAATAGTCCTAGAATTATTGGTGTCCCTAATTTTCCTTTCCTTGGATATTCTCATATCAAGTTTTAGATCATGAAACTACACACTGTACCAGTTGAGTTGCAATGATATTAATACGTTTTTGTAAATACATCCATAGCATTGTTATTTTGGAAAAAGTAAATTAAAAAACTTATGATATTTAAACATTGAAATTTCTTTGAACTATGTGGCCTGTACAGGTCTCTTTCCTTTTTTTTTTAAGACTGCACTAATAGTTCTTTCTTTTATAGTTTATTTGTAAATGTTGTCCTCAGTCCAGAACATAATATATTAATGCTATTGTGCAGTTCAGGAAGTAGAACCATACTTCCATGTTACACTCTAAGCAGTGGAGAAGAGCATCAGTCATAAGAAAACCAAATTCATATGAATTTTGAAAATTAAAAATTTCTGAAAGCATTTTGAGAGAATTGTTCTCTTTGGCTCACTTGTCAGTCTTTGTAATAACTGTGTAAAATGAAAACACAAATCACTTTCTATTTTCCTCTCTGAATTGGTATTTTAATACTTGCTTTTGGAAACTTCTTAAAACATGGCCTCTTGCTAATAAATTCCAGAAAACATCCGTTTTCACTGAAATTTGCCTCCGAAGGGCAAACTTTTAGTGCATCTTAAGAATAAATTGCCTTTAAGTCATTTGTCTTGTCCTGAGTTTTGCACAAAGTGGTTGGATAAGAGACAGGCAGCAACAAATCATCAAAATAAACATCCTTTGTCATAATGAGTATAGTTTTATATTTGTTTCCATACTTTAGTGTTATAAGGTAAAAGTTTTAAATTTTATGTGTGTTACTTTTTAAAAAAAGTTACGGGGGCTGGGAAGGTGGCTCAGTGGTAGAGTGCTTGCCTTGTATGCATGAGGCCCTGGGTTTGATTCCTCAGCACCACACAAACAGAAAAAGCTGGAAGTGGTGCTGTGGCCCAAGTGGTAGAGTGCTAGCCTTGAACTGAAGAGCTGAGGGACAGCGCCCAGGCCCAGAGATCAGGCCCCAAGACCAACCCCCCCCCCAAACAAAAAAGTTAATAGAGGTGATGTCCAGAGGAGGTTACAGTTACATAAGTCCGCTAATGAGAACATTTCTTTTTGGACAGTGTTACTCTGTTAAAATGTTCACTCCTTTTCTCTATAGTAACTTTTTGAGGGCTCTTGGAAAGTGCTTACAATTGAAAGCATGTTTTGAATTGAAAGGGATATATGTATGTATGTATGTACGTATGTATGTCAGTCCTGGGGCTTTTATTCACTTGGACAGAAATATCCCAAATTAGCTTAAGTATCAATGAAAAAACCTGAGCCAAACTTCTAACATTTTTTTGCATTTCTAACATATACCCAGCAAATGCTGTTATTTCTTATTTTATATTAATAGTTGACTTACTGTGGACTATATATATATTTACAACAGATTCATATAGTACTATTTCATTGTTAAAATAAACTCACTATCTAGCGCATATAATACTACAAGCTTTTATTCTTCCTTTTGAGAAGTTGCTCTTTCTGAATTGAGTGCATGAATTTCTAAGGTCTCCTTTGGATGCTCTTCTACTTTCTTTTTATTACTTCCCCATAGTTATCATTATCAGTCCTTTTTTCCCTCCTTTCCTCCCCCCACCCTTTCATTTTTGTCAGTTATATGGGCTTGAACTCAAGGTCTGGGCACTGTCCCTGAGCTTTTCTGCTTAAGTCTAGTGCTCTACCTCTTTGAGATTCAGCTCTACTTCTGGTTTTCTATTGGTTAATGGGAGATAAGAGTCTCACAAGACTTTCCTGTCTGGTTCTGGCTTTGAACTGTTATTCTCAGATGTTAGCCTCCTGAATAGCTAGGATTACAGGTATGAGCCACTAACACCTGGCTACAGTCCTTTACACTCATTGAATATTGTTGTAGTTGTTTTGCATTGTTAGTCATAGGATTAATGAATCTGCTGGTATCCATTTGATCTAGATTTTCTGAACATTTAGGAATTAGTAATAGTGGTTTGGAAACATGGAATACTTTTTTTAAGTCTTCTTGAAAATAACATTTGGTCTTTGATGAGGATCTCATAAGAATAACTTGAAAGGGGCAATTAGAAAATTAAGATTTAGTTTAATTTTATACCAAAGGAAGACTCACATTGGAATTTGCTAAGGACTTGATTTATGGACAGATGCATACTAGTGTTATTAGATTAATTTAGGTTTTTCTTTAGCTATTGGTCTAATCATTGATAATATGAGGTAAGAACTTCCAAAATTGTACAAACATATACATGTGCACACACATGTGGTAAAGTATAAACTGATCAAGCTAATTGTAAAATGAACAACTAACAATGATTAGAAGCCATTTTTGACATTTGTTAGTTTATAACTAGGAGATTATTTCTGAGCTGACCAAGTTTTATCAGGCAAGTCTAAGTACATGCAGAATAAAACAGTAGAAATGAGAATGAATATGGAAGAGTACAGCAACATGGAATGGAGCCCACCAGAAGTTTAAAACTAGTATGGGTCAGGTACTTCATTAAACAATTAATGAATGTCATTATTATACTGACTGCTTTATATGCATCCATGTTTTTGGTTCTGAGGTTACATCTGGTAGATAATTACTTTTATCTTCAAACAAGCGAAGAGGACACTGATGTAGCATGAACTCAAGTAACTTGACCAAGATCATGCATAATAAGTAGCAGAAGTACGCATTTACATGCTTAAACCTCTTAACCAGTATGTTGTATTTAGCCTAATCCATACAACTAAACAGTATGAGATAGATTGAATATCTCAGTAAGGATTGCAAACCATTGGAGAACAATAGGAGGCTGATTTGGAGGAATGTAGAATTTGAAGTAGATCCTGATATCTGGATAAGACTTCATATGGAGGTGAATGGAAGGCCTTTCTAAGAGGAAGCATTTATAACTATAAGGTAGAAGCTAATTGTCTTCCAGTTAGTATAGGATGTATGTAAAGTAGTGGGGAATGGAAGGAGAAAGAAGGTTGGGTCTCACTTAGCAAGTATTTTTATGTTCCATAGTGCATTCCGTATATATAGGAGTGTCATCACCTTTAAAATTGGGATAAACATGCCGGGCATTGGTGGCTCACGCCTGTAATCCCAGCTACTCAGGAGGCTGAGATCTGAGGATCACGGTTCAAAGCCAGCCTGGGCAGGAAAGTCCGAGAAACTTATCTCCAATAAACCACCAGAAAACCGGAAGTGGCGCTGTAGCTCAAGTGATAGAGCGCTTTGCCTTGAGCTGAAGAGCTGAGGGACAGCGCTCAGGCCCAGAGTTCAAGGCCCACGACCGACCAAAAAAAAAAAAAAAAGGATATATAGCCACGTTCTGGGCAATATGGGAAGCCCTAGGACAAATGTGATGAATTTCTTGGCGTATCCATTTTAGGTTATCCATATAGGTTATTTGGGAAGCACATTAAATATTTAATTGTGAACATTTAATAAGTGAACATGTTATAGAGAGAGTGATTTTTTAAATTTAAATTTTAAGGAGAAAAAATGTGTCAAATGTCTTGAATTTTGTTCATAAATTCATGGAAGTCTATTCTTTCATTAAGGGGTGATACTTGAATATGATCTCTGAGCAGGTTAATTCTGGGTTGTTGATGGAGGAGAGGAAATAATAGAAGTCAGGAGATTAGGTAGGAAACAATGTAGAAGTAGGTCTTGAGTTTAGTGTTGCTATGAAAATGTTTATAAACTTGCTTTTCTTCTTAAGTTAGAAATGGATTTGACATTTGAGGTAAGAAGCATTGTTACTTTTTAAACACTTGATTTGTAGGAATGATTTAATATAAGCAAGCCTTTTGAAAATCTTAAGAACAGGTTTATTTCTTTTGTTGTTTTAATATAAGACTACTTATTTTATATATGATAAGACCTGCAGGATGATCTGCAAACTTGTTTAAAAAAAGTTAGTTGCAAGTATATTTGACAGTTGTTTGATAAAACCAAATAGAAAATACATTTATTTGCCTAAGATGCTTATATAAACCTTTAGTGTTCCATATTTGAAACATAGTTCCTTAATAAAGACCAGACTGATCTAATGCTGTGTTGGA